GGGGGGGGGGGGGGCAGAAATTTGGTGGGGGGCACGTGCCCTGTACAGAAGATCCATCCATTTGGAATAAAGACTTTATTATTATCTTTATTGTATCTATGGCAACTGTACGCCTCTCTGTTTTATGTTTTAATAGCTTGTTATCTGGCATGAAAACAAGTCAGGAGTTTTAGAACGTTTTTTTGATTTCTGTTTTGATAAAAACGAAAAGAAAAAAAGTAGAATAAATTAACAGATTCTTACTGAGTACCCTTTACCGTTTCCTTCTCATAAAAAAGCCATGTTATTGACCCATTTCTAAAAATAACTTCRTCAATGTAGTTTTGCAAGCAATGTTAGACTTTTCAGCAAGTTTTGGAGTTGAAATACTGAAAGAATATTTTTTCTCATTCCCACACTCCTCCTGAGAAAAGTCCAATCCATGGAGTCAATCCAGGTTKATATTTTCCACAATTTTGGATTTTGAGGCAAAAACTACCAAATTCTAAAAGAACAAGTGAAACAGGTATCAATGGTGTAATTTGTTTTGGTTGTTTAGGAAATAGAAATGCTTTTACGAGCATCAAAACATATCAACCTGTAAGTTAAGTGTTTCCTTTGCAACACACCTTCCCCTCCCCCAAGGAACTGGGTGCTACATTTCAATTTTATGGAAGCTAAAACCTTACCTAATATAAAGATTATAGAAGAATGAAAGGTAAACCTCCCTTCGCCCCATGTAAGGGAATCCGCCTTATGGTGGTTTCCGGATTCCAAAACTTTTGTATTGCGGATTCCGGATTCCATATCGTTAATTTTCGGATACTTTCTCTGAAAATTATATTTGATATACTTRCCAGTATAAGTAGAATCTTCTATCAATCAAATCAGCATCTGATGACAGRTATTCTTGGTGGAGATATTACACAGTGGGGGAGGGGCTACATCGGTTCAGTCTAGATCGAGGCGATAGCATTTGAGTGTATACTTTGAATTTCAAAGTAGCGGATTCCGGATTCCAAAAGTGTGGATTCCGGATTCCATTATAAACTGGATTCCGGATTCCAAGGCCTAAAATTTCGTGGATTCCGGATTCCGGATTCCCTTACATGGGGCGACTCCCTCCTGAAAACCAGACCAAGAATACTTAAATCCCATGCGATCTCTTTCTTAAGCTGTGCTGTGACATTGACCCGCATGGTATCGATAAAACTCTAAGGACTATCCGAGTACGATTTCTATATATAGTATTGTCAATCCGAATATAAAAGATACTCTTAAATAAGGTTATTTGAAAAAAGGATATTCTTAAATACGGCCAAGGATACTCTTAAATACGGTCATTTGAAAAAGGATACAGTCTTAAATACGGTCAAGGATACTCTTAAATACGGCCAAGGATA